ACGATGTACAGCAACAGTGCGTCACCGGCAACCTCTAGCGGATCCAGCATTTAATTTTAGGTGGAGGGAGCTTTAGCCTGAAAGTTTTTTTTTTTTAATAAATATTACCATAATTCCTTTGGAAAAAAGAAAGAAACTAACGACCCATATGAAATGGCGTTTAAGTAATTTAAGTGCTATTAAATGTAATTGTATGAACAATAATACTTTTATTAGAGTTGACAATAATAATTTTATTAGCTGGTGGTTAGTGTTGATGCTCCCCCTCTATAGATAAACAAAAAACTTTTTTTTGAAACTGATTTTCACTTTAGCTTACCTATTTATGAAATGTATAGTAAGGGAAAGTATTGCGATCGTGAAAATTTTCGAATCCCGATTTTTAACGGAAATACACGTTTTGAAGTGTCCCCTGATTCCAAATAACATGGTTTGTCTATGTGTGTGTCTGTTTCTGATTGTATGGGAACACGCTGGCTCAAAAAAGAAAATTTGTACGGAAATGAAATTGCGTATTTAATTGTATATGCATAGGATGTCACATATACAAGGTTTGTATAAGTCTAGGATGTATTGAACATTTACTTCAAAACTGGCTAACCGGAAGTGCCACTTTGGCCGCCTGAACCAGCCTTTTCCATTTCTGCCTATCTTGGGCTACTGCTTTTCAGCTTGCGGCATGAAGCACAGCCGTATCTTTGTTTATCTTATCTATCCATCTGGTTTTTGACCTCTCATGTGGTCTCTTGCCTACTACTTTAGGATTCATTGTTGTGTGAAGGCGTCCTGAAGGATTGCTTTGAGCTACATGCCCCTTCAATCTTAACGTCCTTGCCTTCATATCATGAGATTTTGACTGAATAGTTTCTTTTAGCAGTTCATTATTGTTCCTTCTGCTTCATGTGTTCTGATCCCAGAGAGGTTCTGTTATCGTACGGAGGACTTTTCTTTCGGATCTCTCAATTCTGCTTTCTAGGGTGCCGGTTAGAGACCAGGTTTCACAGCAGAAATGGCATTATCATGGCATTGTATAACCTTAGTTTGAGATTTCTGGAGATTTTTCTGGATTTCAGTACCCTTGTAAGAGAGAAGAAAGCTCTGTTCGCACTTGTTATTCGCTAGTCTATCTCTATTAAATGATCATTTATTGAGGTTATTGTGGAGCCAAGGTATTTGAATCTATCTACTTTCGGCAATGATTTAGAATCCACGCAGATCATACTATTAGGGTGGATATTTTGGCTAACTATAATATATTTTGTTTTATCTTCATTGACTTGTAGCCCGATTTGCTCTGCTTCTCTTATCAGAGTCAGAGCGAGTCTCTCAATATCCTATAGATTGCTCCCGAGGACAGCTATATCATCCGCATATGCTAAGATTTTATGTTTCACTCTGACGTGCATCTCTCCATCTTCGCGTGATGTTCTTCATACTTTCTCTTGGGCTAAGTTGAACCCAGAGTCCATCTCCCTGCCTCAAACCTGTTCGAACTTCAAAGGCTTGTATTAGTACTCTGCATTTAGGATCATTTAAACACGCCTTCGTCAACCTCGCTAACTTTCCGGGAACACCCAACTCAGCCATGATCTTCCAGAGACAGTTTTTGTCCAAGGAGTCATATGCTTATTTAAAGTCCACAAATAAGGCGTGTACGCCCTAATCTACTTTCTATTTTTTTTCGAGTTCTTGTTTTAAGATGAATATCTGGTCTATCGTACTCCTTCCTCTCCTGAATCCTGCTTGGTGGTCGCCTATATGTTATATGTATATGTATATATGTTATATGTATATTATGTTTTCATAATACGGATATATCCGACTTAACAGATTATTAGTCATTATCTTATAGGCAACCGGAAGAAGTGCTATGCCTCTGTAATTACCACATTCATACATGGAGCCCTTAAGGATAAAACAGATCAGCCCTGTGTTCCAGGCTTCTTGTATCCGTTCCTCCAATATTTTCTAGATACGTTCTAACAGCTTGGCTCTGAGGTGTTCTCTCCCATCCTTGGACAATTATGATGGTAGATTGTCAATCCCTGGAGCCTTTCTTCTTTTAAGCCTGCCGATAGTTATTTCCACATCCAGAATATATGGTTTTTTAACCTGAAGTGGTTTGATGTCCTCAGTGTGGTCCATGTCTTCTTCGTTGGTGGAGTGCCCTTGATTGAGGAGCTACTGTGAATAACTACTAAGCATCTGAAAAGAAGTTTTCCTTTTAGATGTTTAGGATTTATTCTTTTGATGCCGTCAATTTGCCATTTTTCCCTCGCATTTGAGTATTTCTCGCTTTATATCCCACCCTTTCTTTCCTGATATATGTGAAGAAGTTTGGCAAGTGGGTCCTATCGTGGTCCTCTTTGTCAACCCCTGATGGCTACCTTGAGGTTGCCTTCGCGTACTTACAAGTTCAAAACCGGGCACACGTGGACGCGTCAACTCTCGGCCATCCCGTCCTTCAGTTTCCATACGTAACACTTGTTCATATGTACACACGTAAAATATGGGCTCCGCTAATATTGTTATTACACATATATGTGCGGTATAAATTACAGTTGTATAGATTTCAGCAATACAAAAATTAAAATGTGTATATATACCAATGAAAACTAATTGAAATACCTACAATGAAATATGAATAAATATAGCGGCCTTCTTTATCAGTGGTGGCTGTTGAATTTAAAATATTTCATGGTACTTAATTAGTTATTAGGGAGAGCGGGATAGCAAGATCCTAGGTTCAAATCCCGGCTCGTGGCAGAAAAATTATTTATTCTGTTTCATTGGCCGTTGGGCGATCCGTGGGCGACGGGTAGGGAGACCCTCCTTGGGCACACCTAGCCTCTACAAAGTGGGTACCCTTAATTAAATAATTAATTAAGGGGAAAAACCTGGCAATTGAGCGTGATATCAGTTAAATCATCTCGTTGCACAACCGTTGGCCTTGAAGCAGTACTTTCCCTAAACAGCACTAAATCCAAGACCCTTCTAGGATTGTAGTGGTACAGGTATTTATAATTAGTTACTAGAATCAAAGAAATAATTTAAATATACAATCGTAAAAGAAAATAGTTAATGAGGGAAAAAAGCATAAATATAATACAGTGCCGGCTTTAAGGTGGCGCAACCGGAGCAATCCCCCGGGGTGTCGAACTGGAGGGGAGCCGGAACATGTTCAGGGGTGCTCGCCACTTGTTACATATTAAAAAAAAATACAAAACATAATAAAATTATTAATTTTAGCCTATCAATAAAGCAACTGTATTAGATTAATGCTGAATTAAATAAAATGACAATATTAAATAATATAAAAGCTTAAAAAATAAATTTACTTTTTTTTAGGAAGGGGGTAGATGAATTCATTGCCCGGGCTCATCGAATGTCTAGGGCCGGCACTGATACAATACATTAGGTGGCTGTAAAAAGCATATGTTATTAAGTGTTTTAAATAATATTTTTTTCCCTCTGTAATTTTTACTATAACTTCCTTTTGGCTGAAAATATCTATTTGTGCTTTTTAAAAAAAAGGGTGTAAGGTTATAGATTTTTTGCCACCTTAAACAGCCTTCATCTCTGCCTATCTTGGGCTATTTCTTTCCAGTTATCTCCATGCAGTTCTATTGCATCCTCGTTGATTCTATCAATTTACCTGTTTGTTTTTTTTTGGCCTTCCCCGTTATCTTTTTCTTCTATTCAGGCTCTAATTGTTCTGTAGAGGGCTCCAGATGGATTTCTCAGAGCTATATGAATTCCTTGAAATGAAGAACAGAAGATGTTTGTTCGAAGTTTATTGCCTAAATACAGAAGGTTCCACAAGATTTGTTGACATGAAAAGGTCTGAAAACGTAAACGGACGATCAAGATCAATCATTCAAAGTACAGACAGGATTACACACAGAGGAAGTTTGTACGAAATACATACCTTACTTAAAAAATATATATATAGAAAAGAACTGGGATAGTGAAAATTCTGAGTTAAAGGGCTATGGTTTGAAATTAGGGAAACCTTCCCTCTTAATATATGTCATTTCTTGCAGAGGCTCGGCGTTGGAAGGGAGCAGATGAAGACCATGGCAGAAACTATTATTTTAGACTCATTAGAAATCCTCCATCACCAAATATAGTGATCTTGGCCTTTGCTTATTTGATTCTGTAAACTGTTCTCTGCATATTTGCCATGTACTACAATGGTTCGTCCTAACTCTTTATTATGTTTTAAATTTATTTTCTGTTGTCTAATGATTTTACTCTATGATTTAACAACTCAACAGAGCTGAGATGCCATGTAATATCATTGTAATGCTGTTTATTCATAGGAGTGTATTTTATTTTGATTAGCACTAGTGGAGATCTACAACTTAGAATGAAATGTTGGCACACATTAAAAAGAAGTTTTACATTTACTGTTGAGATGAAGTTCCAGCGTAGAGAAACGTGAAAGACAAGGCGAGACTGCATCATAAACAATCGAATTAGAGGTGCTTCCATTGAAAACAATTGTTGAACACAGTTAAAATGGTTTGGACATGTTTGTCTAATGGATGAAGTGAGACAACCCAACACACTCTCTGCACAAAGCTAGACCTACAGGTAAAAGACCACGTGGCCAGCCAAGAATTTCCTATCAGGAATACATCCAGATGATTGGGTTAAAAGAGACAAGACTCTTGCAGAAATGAAGCAGCTGAGCAGTCACCCGGAAAACTGGTAGGGCTGGATCGAGGCTCGAAGAGGAAGAGAAAAAAAGAAGACACTTATTGTGTTTTCTCTCTTAAATGAATACCCAATCTACTTATCCTTAAATACATGTACTGTTAATGATATCTCCACCATTTTAAATTTAATAGTTTCTACATTTCTACATTTTTGTATTAAAAGAAAATCAATTTTTAAAATATAAATAATCTTATTGCATAATTATGAAAATATATTACAATCCATTATTGGGTTATTTATTTTTAAATTTATTGATTTATATTTTCATATGAATATAGGTATCCGAAGAACATGGGTGTGAAGAACAAGTGTTTCCAATGGCTATAAATTTTTTGGATAGATTCCTTGCTGCATGCCCAATTAAACCCAATCAACTACAACTTTCTGCAACTGTAAGCCTTCTTCTTGCCTCAAAAGTTAGAATGTGTACTCCTCTTTCTGTTTATTTGTTGTCTATGTTCACGGATCGTAGCATCACTCCAAAACAGATAAAGGTATGATCATTAATATTTAAATTTTCTTAAAATATGTTGTTATTTTAAAATAAATAGGTTCTTATTTCTAAATTTTTAAAAATAAAAAAAATAACTTGTATTTAACTACCAAATAAATGCACGTAAATAAAAATTATAACTGTTCAAATAAATCTTGTATATTTCAAGTATAATGTTACAGATGATTTTAATGAACGAATATCTAAATGATATATTACCATATTTCCTGTTTAAAGTTAACTTAGCGATGGCTTGATTTTCTGTCTGTATTCAGCCATTGTAAGAACTGTTTCTATATGTCTCCATAGCAACTCTTTCAAGAACAATCAAATAGCAACTGCTTCACCTTCAAAACTTATAGTTTTCCCTTATTGCTGTAATAATAGTTAGTTGATACATTTCTAAGATGTTTAATATTCTTCAAAAAAGGAAAGTACGGGTTCATAATTAATGAATGTAAGATGGTATGAACCAATTTTAAAAAGAGTAGTAAATTGTTCCTGTCCTTTCCAGGTAATTTTAGCAAAATATAATGAAATGTCTTAGCAGACGGTGACCATAATTATCAGATAAACAATATTATAAATACTTCAGTTCCTTTTTTTGTTGACACTAACATGTGTTATTTTAATTATTATCTGTACCTAAATAAAAAAGTGTTTATAAATGTATTTAAACTATTTTTTTTGTAAATTTAATTTAATTGTATATTTTATTAGTTGATTAGTTGTTATGATTATTTATAATATCTAAGTACATTTCAATTAATCATAACTGGCACAAAATCATATTTATATTGTAACAAATAGTGGCTCTTATCTACTAAAAAAAGCTAATTCACCTAGAGTGTAGTATGGACGCAAAGGCATACTCTAGATTGACGGTGATAAGGTTCTATGTTACTATTTTTACTCTGATATCAACTTTTTTTCAAGTTTCAGCTATCAGTAAGAAAAGGGATAATGCATTTGCTTCAGTTGAAATACATAAAATTATACTTGGCTTATTTCAAATTATTATGAAAAACTAATAAAATATATAATTAAATTAAATTTCCAAAACAAAAATGAATGTCTACCAAAATGATTTCCACTACCCTTCAAAATGAAAATAATGAAAGGATGTACGTACTCCATGATAGACCGTTTATTAATTGTCGGTCTTCTCCTGAAGTGTTGGATCTTTGAAGTTGAAGTTCAAAAAAATAAAAAATAAATAAATAAAATAAAAATATTGAATAAAAAAAACATTATATAGTAAACAAGAAATTTAGAACTGCATGCAGTGTATTTTAAACCCATATTTAATAAAATATATAATTTTTACAATCTTTAAACTTGTAAATATCTAAATAGAAAAAAATATTATGATGCTCTTAGATATCATACATTTCATGAAATCATGCAAATGAAATTATGTAAATAACATGAATAAATAAATATATACAATTTTATCTTATATTTATTTACAGAGATTAACAATATAACTTAGCAGTTATAACATAATTTATTAAATGAAAATTATTATCTTACTAATACATTAAAAAGTACAAATAAATTTATTTAAGGCAGCCCATAGAATATTATAGTCAGCTAAACTATAGGTAGAATTATTTAGGACAAATATCTAGTAAGAGAAGTAGAATTAAACACCATTTTTCCATTTTTTGTATATATTATGGCAAATTTGGTTTAATAAACATGGTCAATTTACGTTTCCTGTGATTTATATTTATGCAAAGTAAGCAGGTAAATATTCAAAAATATAAGTACTTAAAGTGAAATAAACTGAACTGAAGGCATAAAATTTAACCTTTTTATTACATATTCAATTCTTGTTACAATTTTAGTCTATAAATATATTTAAATAACCATGAAAACTTTTTTTTCAGGATTGGGAACTACTCTTTCTATCCAAGTTGCAGTGGGAAGTTTGTGGTGTTACTGGTTGTGATTTTATTGATCATATATTGGAGGGGACTAATTTAGTAGGAACTTGCAATATGCTAAGACCTCATACTATCACACTTTTATCACTTGCATACACAGGTATAGTTTGCATTGAACAATAAAAATTTATATATATTGTAAATATTTTATTTATTTTTTAATAAAAGTTTTTTAATTTCTTCACCTATATATATTGAGTTTAAAACAGAGAGGAGGTGGTTTAGCTTCTCAGGATTAACAGGTCAATTAGCATCTATTTTACCTAACCTGAAATAGATATGAAGATGAGATTGCAGATACCATCAACAAACTTAAAAATAATAAGGCTCCTGATGCTGACGCACTCCTTGCTGAACTTTTAAAATGCTGTAAAAACGAACTAGCCGAAGCTCTACAGGATTTCCTCCTTGTGATATGGACTGATGAGACGATGCCCTCTGACTGGAATAGGTCAATTATCTGTCCTATACATAAAAGTGGTGATAGGTTGCTATGAAGCAATTATCGAGGTATCTCGCTGCTGTTCTGCGCCTATAAGATCCTGTCTCATATTCTGTTTAGACATCTTTTGCCATATGCTGAACGTGAGCTCGGTTCGCACCAGAGTGGGTTTAGGAAATGAAGATCCACTTCTGATCAGATGTTCTGTGTGCGAACCATTCTTGAAAGAGGCCATGAGTATAAAACCAAAACTCACCATCTGTTCATCATTTCAGAGCAGCATATGACAGCAGAATATGCGAAGAACTGTATAGTGCTTTCAGAGAATTTAACATACCTGAGAAACTTATACGTTTGATAAAGCTTACCATGAAGGATGTGAGTTGTATGGTTAGAGTGAATGGTGACAGATCAGAAGATAAGACAACTAAATCCAAAACCTTTTTAGAATTTAATTTACTTTATTTATTTTACTAGAATTTATTACTATTAAACCAGAAATTATTCACTTGCTAAAAACTTTCTTGAAATAAAGCTGTGTTCCATCTTCATCCTCGCAGAGTGTTGCTTGTAGTTTGAATAAAACTATATTTCTTCATCAATTTAATGGTAGAAAAGTCAGATCTTGCTTGAATTTGTGATTTATCAGCCTCCTTTAGCTTCTCATTCTTCCAATTTCTTTTATTTTTATTTTCAATCATTTTTTCATTGTGAAAAGCTTGGCATAAATGTCTAGTCTATCTATGTATCATTTTTAATTCATTCTTCTTTGAGATTACAATGACCGCAATAGGAGAGCCTCCATCTCGTTACTCCAATTTTTTAACATATATTTTAAAATTATCAATGCACTATTAGCTATTAATTATATAAAATTTTAATTATTAATTATGATATAAAAATTATTAATCAGGTTTACATTGTTTTTTTTACATTATTTACTTATTTTATGATACTTTTCTTTTTAGAATCTGATCTTGCCTCCATTCGCGGTTCTGTTTTGGCTTGTGCGGCATTAGTGTCAGCAGCAAGAGGTCTTCGAATGAAACCTGACGTATTAAATGATGTTTGTACCTTGATCAAATGTGATCCTAATGACGTGGAATCAATTGTAGCACGTATTGAAGTAATCCTATCTGAATGTGCAGTTCATCAGACATATTCAGATTCGAATTCTCTTTGTTTATAGATATAATAAGTTGTTATCTCCTGTTTTGTTATATATTGCTTTTGTTCAGCGCATTCCAAATGTTACAAATTTGTGTGATAATTGTTTTAGTATTAATAACTTAACTAAAGTAGATTATTTCAAAGTCTTTGTCATTACTTTATTTAACAGTTAGTGATTCACACACCAGAAACTGTGACTTTTTTGTTATTATTGTGTGGAAGCAATATTTATTTTTAGCTATTACCAAATTTTAAATAGACAATCAATTGTAGTAGAGTAATAATTCCCTGGTTATTTCTTTCATACCTTGTTCCTATAAGAGGGTATCTAGTATTTGTAGACACAATATTGTAGAATTAAAAATAACTATAAAAAGGGAAAATTACTCATTAATTTAAACAAATAATTGGTACACCCTATGTTGAAATAAATGTTTTAATGAAATAGTTAGGTTTTTTTTCAAATATAAGTATTGTTAAAATTTTGGCTATTAGATAACTTTAACTATTCATTGTTTCCCACCATGTATGTTATTCAGATATGCTATTATGTTGCTTTTTTTCAGATATTGATTTTAAGTGAAGCCTGTGATGATTGAAAAAACTTTACAAAGCTTTTCTTATTGAAGGAAGTTAGTCGACTGTTCTAGATCCATAGTTAAAAATCATAAAATGACTGCTTCCTGATTATTTATCAATTAAAAAAGTTATTTCTACCATGCACCTTAAACCTCTAAGTCCTGGTGCCATGGGCCATGCATATCTCATTATTTAGCATTATATTAAAATTAAATTAAACTTCCAAGGACGATAATTTTTTAAATATGAAAACAGAGGAGATATTTTGAGACATAGTTATCTCCAGATTACCTTGCAAAATAATGAAAAGAAACTCCTACCTCTTGGAAGGGAGGGTGAAGAAGGGGGTATGACTTATAAATAACACTCATTACCTATCTGGAATTTGATGAGAAAAGGACAGAAAAAAAAATATAATAAAAATCAATTGGATTTATATTATACATTATTTTAACAATAGAAACTTTTAAAACATTTTTTTTTCACAAACTTGAAAATATTAATGAGAAAAAATAATAATTTTTTCAAATTGTGTGATTAAACTTCATTGGAAACCAACATCATATTTCTTGCACATTGTTCTAAACATACATCATAATCGTGGGTTTATGGTTGACTTTACTGAATAATTGAAGAGAAGGATGGTTGTGATGATCAGTCAAATTACAATGGAAAAAATAAACAATTTTATTTATTTATTTTTCCATTTTAATTTTACTGATCCCCCCAACTATCCTTCTCTTCAAATACTTCATAATCATATATCTATTAACTTTCATTTACTTGTATATGAAATGCAATATAAAGATTGAAATTTCTATATATACTGATACTTAAATAAATAAAAATACCCACAATGGAATATAAATGAATATAGCAGCCTCCTTTATCATTTGCGCTCTTGTCAGATTAAAAAAAAATTATAGCACTACATTATTTGTAAAATATACAAATTTTAAAATGTACAGTGTTGGAAGGAAATCTTTATTAACAAAAAAAATATAAATTTAATTGAATGGAAGAGTTAGAAAACATATAATAATTAATTGTTTTAGATAATATATTGTACTGCCATTAATTTTCACTTTAACTTCCTGATGTATGAAAATACCTATTTTTACTCAAAGTAGGACGGTTAGTGAAACTGTTTGATACATTCTCTGCTGCAGATTTTTATTATCAATTTCACTAAATAGATTGTCCTTATGCCTTGTAGTAACTGAAGTTCTCCCATTTCGAAGTTGAACTATGTTCCCTGGAGGATTTTGCCTGTCCTCCCATATCTTCTCAAATGTGTTTGGGCTATCTCATTTTTAAACTATACTTTTGTTGCATTTCTGTTAGACCTTTTTGTGCATTAGCCAAGCATTATGGGCCTGCTACTTAGATCATCATTTTGATCCATATAAGGAAAGATGTAACATGTATATATGAAATAAGTTTTTGTAGTAAGTTGACCTCTGAAAACATGATGATTCCTGTGCAAATTATTTATTCAGTCATAGACACTCTTTAAATTTGTCTATTCATTCATGAAACTGAACCAAAATAACTAAAAACGTTTTCACACTTTCCATAATTCCAAAGTTTATGATGCAGGTAACATAAAATTCAACTCAACAAAAAACAACTAATTTCTAAACGATCTCCTGGGTTCTGTCAACAATATATAATACAATAGACATACACGAAATTATATAAAATGTATATTATTTATAATGCTCGCCCTTGGTTGGTTAATTAAAGTTAATTCATTAATTTATTATCATTTTTACTTTTGAAATGTTGAAAAATGTCTTGTTTTACTGGTGTTGGAAAATATAACTTACTTATTACTATAGTTTATTTTATTGTTACATTTTGTTTAACATTAGGAGAAATTTCCTTCCCATAATCAGAAACATACATTTTCCTGTGCTCTTTTTGTCATTATATAGTAGTTGCTTGTTAATTTTCTATGATCATACATATTTGGAAGCTTTTCTCTCATTATATTACTGTCTGAAAATTGTTTACTTCTGAAAATTAGACTGCTGATTTATATTTTTCTTGAATATAGATATGTATGTTTCATAACATTTTCTGAAATGTTGAACAAAATGTGACAAAAAAAATAAATGAACTATAATCCTAAGAAACTATGTATGCCAACTACAGCAGTTAATAAATTAAAAACCTGCACAATTTTTCACAGTTCTTGAAGTACCATTGCTAGGTCAGTTAGATTAATTATAAGAAATAAATGTAGATGTAGTGTAAGATGGTATTTAAAATGATCTCATTTATTATAATAAATACCTTCATAAATGTATATATATATAATAATGTTAACTGCCATTTGCGAAATGAGCATATGATTTGTAAGAGAAACTAATGATCTCTTTTTGTTGTAAATGTAAATTTGTTGTGTAAGCAATAAATGTTACTTTCCTTGGACAACTTATTATTTTAATATTACAAAATGTAATACTTTCTTTTGTAATTTTGTTTTTATCCAACAGTAACATAATGAAAGTTTGTTTCAATAAGTGTGTAACACTTACAACTTGTTTTATATTGACATTGTAGTTATTAATAAAAAGCTTTAATATCAGGAATGTTTTTAATTTATCTTAAGATTTCAAAGAATGATAATAAAGGTCATTGAGTTCAATAGAGAAATCTGTACCACAAAAGTACTTATATGTTTTACTAATAATATTTTAAAAAATAATTTTATATAATAATCCACAATTAAACAAACACCAAAGATTCAAAATATTAATCATGATTAATTATGTTGATAAGTAACTTTTTGTTCTAATTTACTTATATTTCAACTATAGTTAGGTGGAATTCTAAGGGCGAACCTATATGGTACTAAGTTGAAACGAAAACTTTGTTAAAAATTATTAAATGATGAAACAGGACCCATTTTTTCATCCCAAAAATACAGTTCATTTTGTACACCACGCCTTTTATTTTATTTCTTCTATTTTATTGTTCATATTGCCATATACATTTGCTATTTTATTTGTAGGTGATAAGTTAAATAATTTATATGATATTAAAACAAATACAATATATTTTTAAATAATAAATAAATATTTTTTTCCTAAAAAAGACTTAAATAAAATATATTTATGTATAACTTTTTTTTTTTATAATAGTCTTTATTGAGATGTATTACAATCTGCCACATTCAAGGACAATAGTAATAGTGATAAAGAGTAGCTCATTCATACTATGCACAGTAAATAAAAATAATAAACAGAAATATAATAATACTAAAAGTACATGTATATAAACTAAAAGATACTAAACTAAAAATAAACTAATCTAACAAAATAAACACTTAAATACAAGCATGCTTTTATACAATATTTACAATGTTCATTCACCCAAGATCTCCGAGCCAAGCCTTTCTCCACACTCGTGGAGAGAAAGGCAGGACTCTAGGAGATCCCAGCGTCTTTCACTCAGCCGCATGACTGGTATTACCAATGGAGGCTGAGCAGAGACACTATGACTAGACATGCATGGCCTGAGTGGAGAATCTAGCCATTGCCAGAACTCCAATATATTCTTACAAGTCTCTGGGCCACTGCCGCTTCAACCTTCGAGGAGGATTGTAGGGATGAGTAGTGCTAGAGAGGGATTGTGCAATTGGATTTGGATGATATGTAAGGTTTTGGTGGAATTTGGAAAATTTTTGAGGGATAAGGTCTAGGACAAATGGAATATTAAGGTCATGGTGTAGGGTTCGGTTGGTTACATAGAACGGAGCATCAACTATTGTTCGAAGGACTTTGGACTGAAAAATTGAATGCGTTTGATGTTAGAAAATTTTGCTGTCCCCCACAGTTTCAGTCCGTAGGTTCAAATAGGTTTCAGTATGGTCTTGTAGATCAGTAATTTTCTGTCAATTGAGATTTTCTGTTCAGTAGTCTATACTCCTGGCCATATCGTCGGTTGAGTTCTTGTCTTTTGAGTCTTGTATGTGGGTTCCATGTCAGTCTTCGGTCTAAGAGAAAGCCAAGATACCGGACTGTGTCTGAGTAAGGAAGCTGGATGGAATTAAAGTGTATGGGGACAGGAATTGCGTCGGAGAGTAAAGGTAATATGTTTGCATTTCGACTCATTCACTTTAATGCGCCATTCATCACATCAGTGCTCAATAAGGGAGAGGTGCCTTTGTAGATTTAAGGATGCTATTTCAGGATCTGAACTGGTGTTAGGATTGCGGTGTCTTCAGCAAATGTTGCAAAGAAGGTACGGAATGAGCAGAGATGCCAGCGGTAAAGAGAATGTAAAGCACGGGACCCAAGACGCTGCCTTGGGGAACACCGGCTTTAATTGGATAATTATCGGATAATGCCGTTCCGCAGCGTACTCGAAAGGAGCGGTCAGAGAGATAGGATCGAAGGATTAGGTATAAGGACTGAGGGAGATGGATTTTAA